TTTCACGGTCCAAACTGAGTCAGTATGACCCACACGCGGTTAAAGGTGTATCGCGGTTCTGACAAAGTCTCACATATTTTTCTCAGAGTAGTCTGTTGAAAGCCTGTTAACATCAATTGTTATTGATTTTTATTGATCATGATTTTTTCATGAAATTTTATTCAGTAGTTTGGTTATTTTGAGAACTTAGGGTAGTATGTAGACAAGAGGTCATTAGCTGCATTTAAACGACATGGAAAGCCAAATAAAAGAAAACTTGGTCATTTTGCACAAGTGTAAGAACCAATTTCGGCCATTGGAGCTCATGAAGAATTGTATTTTTCGAAAATGAGTCAAAATTACATAATTTAAATTCCAGAAATATTCAATCAGTTTATACTGTTAGGTTTTTTACGGCATATGAACAATATTGACCGTTCATATCTTGCAAATCGAAGTACCTATTTTTTTAGCAAAGTTGATTACTTCAGCGCCCAAATTGACAATAGATATCATATCGTAACATATGCAGAAATTTGAGATTCAGTTTTCAGGTAAATAATAAAATTCATTTGTAAATTCATTAATTGAAACTTTTTGCAATTATGCAGGCTCTCTGATATTGTAAACCATCTTCACCAAGCGCAGTTATTAGACGATGCTGAATTAGTCACCGTCAAAGCTCATATTTTTATTGCAGTTCGTCGGATGAAGGGATAATTGTTTTCTTCCTCATTTACAACGTGGCAACGGATTTACAAATGAAAATTGGATCAGTACTCACTGCAGTGAGTGACACAGAGCGCATTTCCTCGTCCGTCCGCCCGTGAAGTCACGGACGGACGTTACGGACGGACGGGATATGACGAGCACAATAGGGCCTTTTTTCCATAAATAAGACACTGCACAAAAAATTGTCGTGTTGCCGACTGGTCGATGTCATGCAAGACCTGAACGTAGACAAGTTCTCGTGCAGCTGCCCACAGGAGAGCTATTGCACGTTATGTACGTATCAGACGAACCAAACTTTATTCGCTTATTATTTGTTCTTTTTTTAAAGTTATAATGATTGTTTTTCACTCTGTGAAAAAGAATCCGCTTGATGCTTTCAGTCGTGCAATTTAATGTACTATTTTATATTGTTTGTAGAGTAAATAATAGGAGTATTATTTGAATTTCACATTGTTTGAACATTAAATAATGTAATCATACGCTCAAATTACAACTTCGACAAAAGAGTGTGCGCGTTAGCGTTTACAGGTTTTACCCATACGTCGCGGAGACGAGCTACATGCTCTGTGAAAATGGCGGTGACAAACCTCAGTTGTCTAAGAATTGTTCTTCATGAACTTTGAACATTTAGAGATCGTTCTCTCACTCTATTTCTATCTCTCTCGCTATTCACCAGCTGCTATAACTCAGCCTATATTGAAGCGCTATATTATTGAAGCGCTCTGCCCTGAGAGAGAAATAAGCTCCCGAGAGTACATATGTAATGCGGTGGAATGCAGTCCGACTACCTAGTAGTACCACTACTAGTTAATCCACTACTACTATTACTACTACCACTACTATTTAATTCCCATCAGCCTCTCACCGTCCGATAATGTTTGACTGAAACACAGATATAGGATAAGACACTCAAGGTTTTTATTTAAGTTAATGCTTTGAGAAGGAAGATAATTTCATTAATCTTGAGCACAAATTTACTTATGTAGTGGTGAATTAACCAATGAATTGCTAAACAAAAGCAAGATCAACAGGAATTTCTATTTTTTTCTTGCATTTTAGGTTCGAATTTATGCGCAACACTCTGATAAGACGGCACTCTACTTAAAACAACTTCTACTTCGCTGAAGTAATTCCGGTTACCAGCGGCAGAATAAAGTGGAAAACCGAATGGATTACCAGTATTTGGACTTCTGCCATGATTCAACACCAAACAAATGAAATCGTGAATAATTAAATATGAATGTAATCTTGCCCATCCATCCAATGGACTGATGATATCAGGTGTCGAATATCTTCTCTTCAGGTCTTTTCAAGCTAAAATATTTAATATAGGCCATGAGCAGGCGGGCAAGAATATAATTATTTACGAATGCTGGTTACCGTCAGAACTAAAATCGAACAATCAATGACAGAGCAACTATTTAAACATGCCCAGGATCAATCTTTCCAAGATTGTTAGCTAGCGTGTAGTTCGAAAGTGTCCTCCGACATGCCAGACGTTAAATACCACATACTTCACTCATTAAAATGAATGGGACTGTTCGATTAGCGATTGATTTATTGCCCGTGTGAGGATCACCCTAATCTTGTTCAGCCCTGGAAAAGGACGAATCACAGCTAAACGAAAAAATTGTGTTACTTTCTGCACAATTTGACCCGCTAATTTTTGTTTTCAGTGATGGGGCAGGGTATATTCATAGATGCACCCCACAGGATATAAGCTTATCCGAGCCTGACTCTTAAAGCCAGGTCGCCCAGGAGTCTCATCTCGAGCGCCGGTGGCGGCGGCGTCGTCTTGGCGCCAGAACTCTCTGGAGTTTTGCAGGTTTTGGCGCCAACGCGGTCGATAAGTTGGCGTTCTGGCGCCAGCAATCTGCGGCGCTGCCGTGACGTCTCGGCAGTCGTTGTCATGGTAACGTTTCGGGATTCGTGGGAAACCTCACCTCGATCCAAAAATTCATATGATTTTTACTTTTGAAGGTACGTTGTTAAATTAAATTGTGGCCTGTGACTGTTTCCAATTTAACAGCTAATGTTGAAAATTTTTCTATTGAGGTGAAGAATGCATTTTTAAATGATGCATTAATCATACGGTTCACACCTCAACCCTTAAACGCTTCACTCGAGTCAAATCGCACAAACAGTAAATATTTCAGTGGAAAAGTTGCTGCAAATAGCCGACTTTCGACTATCATTAGTGAGTGAGATCGTTGATAAGGGCTATCTTTATCGGGATGTATCTACATCATCAACTGCAGGAATATCAAGTCTCAGTGCCACGGCTGTCTGGCATTTCAAGGCACTGTGTGTTGGGTTTTTCGTGTGTCTGAAAGTTAGAGACTTGTATTGAATTCAACCAAAGTGCATTAGTCTTCTCTGTTGAATAAACTCGCCATGTTGCTTTCAGTCACTTGTGTGTGCTGCATAATGCAATAACTTGAGCATATCCTTGACGAAAATGAATGCTTTGTGCTGTTAATAACTCAGCAGCACCTCTGCCGAACAAGATTCTTATAACACATCTTCAGAGCCACATGTTCAATGTTGAATCTCCTTAATCTCCATAAATCTCCATCATCTCCTTAATCATCACCCATTTCTTTATTCTTCAATCTTCAAATTCGCCATTTATCTCTCTAATCTTTTTCGTAGTAAATTGTCTTTAAATTCTCCAGCTACACCTTACATTTCCAAATTCTCCCTCATTATCCATTCCCGTGATCTTATTAATCACCATTCACTTCCATTATCTCTCTCGTCGCCATTCACCTCTCTAGTCTCTCCATCATCACCATTCATCATACTACCAAGACATCATACCACCAAGACATCATACCACCAAGACATCATACCACCAAGACATATCCGTGGGGTTCACGGGCATTTATCCGCGTGGTTGACGGGCATTTATCCGCCGGGTTCACGGGCATTTCATCCGTGGGGTTCATGGCAATTTATCCGTGGGGCTCAAGGGAATTTATCCTGTGGGTTCACAGATATTTTATCGGTGGGGTTTATGGGTATTTTATCTATTTCATGCAGGACTATTTTATCGGTAGGGTGCAGGAGTATTCTATCCGTGGGGTGCAGAGTTATTTTATTAGTGAAGTGCAGTTGAATTCTATTCGTGGGGTGCAAGGGTATTTTATCCAAGAGGTAAACGAGTATTTTGTTCTTGGTGTAGAGAAGCATTTCATCCGTGGGGTGCAGTGGTATTTTATCCATTTATCCGTGGGGTGCAGGGATATATTATTTCTGAGATATTTTTTAGGGGGAGCGCATAGATGATTTAGCCTGCCACTGTACGGCACGTTTTCAGATAATTTGTTCTATATTTTTTACCAATAAACCACAGAGGCGGCAATTTTTCATTCTATGTTATTTGGAAGCTCGGGAGATTCGCTCCAGGAATCAATGCAATGAGCAGAAATATTTATTGAAAAATGAATATGTGGTATTTTTCCAGTTATTTTTGGGCATTTTCTATCAGATAATCGTTGATCAAATAAACTGATGCACTTTATACAATATATATTTTAATTGTAGGAGATATTAAAATTCAGGGGGTGGAAGATTATTCAGTCCATGAGTCAGAGTAATGGGAAAAACTAACAATTCTCTTAGGAACAAATTGAAAGTTAATTAATATTGCATCAAATGCAACTGTGCTTATCAAATGAATATTTCACATAGAAACGTGCACGAATGTGTCCTTTTATGTAATTTTAGACCGGAATCAAAGTCAGGGGTTGTAAAGGGAACATCTAGCCATCTATTTAATCCCGTAGAAACTTCGTGTCTTGCGATTTGCATCTCCCAGGCTTATTCTATTTCGTCTGAATGTAAGGCTCATGCATGCAGTATCTCGGCCCGCGCCTCTGCATGCGTCCTGCCCCGCGATCTCGCACATCCCTCCAACAGGCCCTCCAGGGCACGACGCCCTAAGGATCTCCACGACGTTCTACGACACCTCACGTCACTCTACGATGTCGTACGACACCCCACGGATCCCCACGACGTTCTACGACACCTCACGTCACTCTACGATGTCTCACGACACCCCACGGATCCCCACGACGTTCTACGACACCTCACGTCACTCTACGATGTCGTACGACACCCCACGGATCCCCACGATGCCACACGACGCCTCTCGCAGCCCCACGATGTTTCCCGACTTACCCGGGAGCCCAAAACGCCTTTTCGTGCCCCACGATGTCTTACGACGCTGTAAGGGTATCGAAGAGGCTAAACGGCATCAGTCGAACCGGTGGGTAATAATGGACGCGTCACACAATAACTTTAATGAAATATAAACGAATTGACAACTTAACTTAGGAACAAGGCAAGATCCGATGAAGGAGTGCAGTTGGCCGACGGGAGAATCCCAGACGACTGACGGTACAGTTATGGAAGACTGACGTTGGGGTTACGGACGACTGACGGTAGGGTTACGGACGACTGGAGGTAGAGCTACGGACGATAGACACTAGAGTTACGGACGACTGGAAGTAGACCACACGACTGGTTCACAGATGGCGGGTAGAGGCACAGACGACTCGTAGTTCCATAGGCCTACTTGGTAACACGGCTGTGATAGTCTTGCTGTTAACTCGGGTCACTGGTGTGTCAGATAGTAGATGGTCTCCCCAACCGGAACTGAAATGGATACAAGAGAGATCAGCATGGCCCCTTAAACGTTTCAATGGTACAGAACATAATATTCACAGGCAAGACAAATGAAGATTTCCTATCAAGAGAACATTATTAGTTACTAACCTATGGCGCTGGCGGCCAGAGCAAGAGTGGCTGATGGCCGGCTAATGAACACAGACTAAGACTACGGAGGCAAATATTACCCTAGGGTTAGCTAGAAATGGCTTGATCCTTACACAACCCCCCCTTTAAGACAGCGAAGCTCGTGAAAATTAAGGGTCAAGCGACAAAATCGGCCTCAGAGGTTGATAATACGACTAGTACAATTGAAAATGCTTCATGAAAAGACGGCACAAATATGATCAGCAATATACGAACACCTTATCAATACATCCTTAATTCTAAGAGTGAACGAAAAGGCAATTGTAGGCTGTAAGTACAAGCGCTACGAATAAACTTATTACTACAAAGAGTTAATTTCTTAAACACGAACACAGCACATGACAACAAGCCAGAAAAGTTATAGTTACTAACCTATGGCGCTGGCGGCCAGAGCAAGAGTGGCTGATGGCCGGCTAATGAACACAGACTAAGACTACGGAGGCAAATATTACCCTAGGGTTAGCTAGAAATGGCTTGATCCTTACAGACGCCCCCTGGAGCCCAAGACGCCTTACGGAGCCAAGGCGATGCCCCACAACGCCCCACGGTGCCCCACGACGCCCCAAGCCCCAGCTGGCACTGTGCCAGGGGTCGATAGCGCCTACGGGGGCCATTTTCTGGAGACCTCGTATTGTAGTGATGTGGGGAGCTTGGTGAAGGTGGTGAGTGCCACGAGCTCGTCCCAACCTCCTTGTATTAAATATATATGTCACAATCTCCTTATATATGTCTTCATCTCCGGATAATAAATATATATGCTACGGTATCCTTATACATGCCCCAATCTCCGGATAATAAAAATATATGCGACGACCTCTTCATATATGTCCCAATCTCCGGATTTTAAATATATATGCGACGACCTCCTTATATATGTCCTGATCTCTGAATAATAAACATATATGCGACGGTCACCTCATATATGTCCAGATCTCCTCGTCTGGAATATATATATGCCACTTTCATCGGCATCAAGATCAAGGAACTCATTTGTGCTGAGTCATCGGCTGCTCTTCCTAACTGATTTAATAAAGTCAGCGTTACATTCATGGGGGCGGTGAGGGATTGGAGGCTCCGAACTGTAGAAGGATATTCAATACGTTAGTGACACGACCTTGAAAATTGTTAAACTTGAAGTTTAAAAACTTCTCAAGCTGCAAATAAAAATAAAAAATTCTGCACATTTTCCAGCTAGCGCTAAGGGAATTTTGGTCGAGAATAATCGAAAGTTTTTGCACAGGGTAACATATAAAGTTTTGATATTTTTTAATGCTGATTTCCAAAATTTTCAACTTGTTCATTTGTTGGATACTGTCATGACTTGCACATTGGTTTTTATTCACAAACTTTTTAATGGGTGATTTATGATCATGCAAGAGGAAATTCATCTACAAATATTATTATAAATTATAGAAACTACCATGAGCCTATTCACGAACTCTTGATTTATAAAAACTCCATTTATCTTAAAATATTCTCATGTTAAACAAACGTATATTATTAATGTTCAGAATAAAATGTTAAGTCAGAATTTAGAGCCTGCAAGTGCAAGCTGTGAATTTTTGTAAACAAATTTCTATACACCATGCAAATTACTATACGTTTTTACTCTACGGTGAAAATAACCAGAATTTGAGTTACTATTGAAACTACGCAACAAATATTTCGCTGATAATCGAGATTTGAATTCAAAGAGGAAGCTTCTAACTTAAAGCTGAGCGAGCGCACGTAACATAAACTTTGAGATTAAAGAAAGTTGCGGTCATTACTGCGCTGCTATTGTACTGACACCTCAAAAAAGCTGAGTAGTGTTTCGGCAGAAAGAAGCTTTCCAGCCCATGTTGAGAAACGAGCACTTCTGCCGAGGTAAAGTCGTATTTTACTTCTCAAGGCTGGACAAGCCTATTGCTCGTTTAGAATCGTAATTCACAACGCTTCTATGGAGGCCATTTTCATCCGGTCTAGCGGACCAATGGCAAGGCAGAGGCGTCCGCCAATGCGGTCCTGGTATTGATCATCTCCGGCAGGGACGCCTGTGAGACGCTGCGACGTCTTTTTTACGTCTTTTTGCGATGTCAAAATGTTCACTCGGTGCCACGGAGACGCGTGTCGGGAAGACCTAAATTTGCATGATCGTATGCAGAATTAAGTCATCATATTCCACTCGGCGATTTTTGCAGGAAGTTTGTCGCTCTGATCGCGTCAAGAATTCACACAACTTCAAGTCCAAAGATTGCGCAGAATTAAAAATTGAAACTTTGGAAAGGCTGAAATCTTTGGGTTCTTTCTCAGAAGTTCAACCTGTCGTAACTTGCTACTTCAGCATGCTAGTTTATCGACAAGCTTTGCAAGTCTGTGGGTTTGATGAACTGTAACATATTTTCTTTGCGAATATGAATAAACATTTATCAACTTAACTTCGTGACGTACGTTACAAGAAGTTGATTGAATAATAAATAAAATAATGCCAGCTTAACTGAGAAAAGCTTGAATGTGGCAATGAATACACTTATCGACACATTAAGCCATGTTGTATTCATGCGCTCTGTGAAGCTGAAGCAAATGCACGAGGCGATGAGCGGGCGATGTGTCTGCTTCGCTACGCTTTATCTCCCACGATGGTCGTTAGCGTGGCTGCTGAGAGTGAAGCTGCAATGGTCTGCAAGATAACCATCGTGGTCTTGTGCTGCTGTAAGTGAAGCTGCAATGGTCTGCAAGATAACCATCGTGGTCTTGTCCTGCTGCTGTAAGTGAAGATGCAATGGTCTGAAAGATAACCATCACGGTCTTGTGCTGCTGATATTGACAATGAAACTGCAATGGTTTGATTGGTTGCCGTACGTATAATCATCGCGATCGTGCCGATCTGGGACTAATACAATTCAGCAAGTTTGATTTCGTTTAAATATCAAAACTTTTTATGACCTATGCGTGAAATAATGTTCATTGTCGTACAATGTGTTGTGATATTAAATTAATCAGACATGGATATTTCATATCTTCCCGCTTGTCTTACAAATCGTTCATCGAAGAACTTCTGGTATAGAGGGCATATACCATTAATGGACCCCTTTTTAGATCACTTTCTTTTGAAAATCTTATGCTATAATGTTACTAATGGAAGTGTTCATGGTGACCATTGAACTTAGGCATTACGAGTGTAACATATTGAGGGACAGTAACACGTGGCGCTGAATTAAGTGATGTATTCACGATGCATTGTCTGTGTTCGAAGGAAAATATTCCCGCGACAGCTTGGCGGACCTGAGCCGCGGCGCTGGCAGCTGACGGCAACACTAGCGCCTGCTGACGGCAACACTAGCGTCTGCTGACGGCAACACTAGCGCCTGCTGACGGCAACACTTGCGCCTGCTGACGGCAACACTAGCGCCTGCTGACGGCAACACTTGCGCCTGCTGACGGCAACACTAGCGCCTGCTGACGGCAACACTAGCGCCTGCTGACGGCAACACTAGCGCCTGCTGACGGCAACACTAGCGTCTGCTGACGGCAACACTAGCGCCTGCTGACGGCAACACCAGCGCCCGCTGGCTGCAACACTAGCGCTCGCTGACAGCAACACTAGCGCCTGCTAGTTAAGAGGGAAAGTGAAATTTATTTAAATTTTGCCGAATATTTCCCGCGTCTTTTCAGAAAAAAATTAAAAAGAGGTCATGAAGTAAAATCGAAGAAGCCCTCAACTAAAATTACCAATCAGACAATGTCATTTGTCTTTTTAATTTAATCTATGTACTGTTTTTGAATAATTTGGCGATTTAAAGGGTGTACTCACTTCAAACGTTTCAGACGAATAGATAAAACGATTATTACTTACACGCAATCACAAATCAATTTCTCAATAAATTTAATAATAAGGGCTTCTGGTAAGCGTTGCCGATTTCTAATATGTGAACATTTTTCAATTAAAATCCAAAAAATTCAATTCAATTAAATCCAACTCTTGCTCTATACGACCGAACCAACTTGAGTGTTGACAACCGAATTATTGTACTAAGAATAGCAAATGAAAATCATCAAATAAACGAAACTATTAGTTTGAACAGCAAATAATAAATGTTTAAAGGAACACGTCCTTCTTCTCGTCAGATGAGTTGACTTAGGAGGTGACTCGGCGTTTCTGTAGCGTCTTTTGTGAGCGCCGCTGTGAGGCAGCGCTAAGTCTCAGCGGCTCAGACGCTGACAAGCCTTAGGTGATGACAAGGATTTGAGTAATTAATTGAATTGAGGAATTAATTGATGAAGGATGTTGTGAGGTAGCGTGATATATTGGTTGTGTTGTAGAAACATGGTAATGACCATGCAGTAGCCTTGATAGTTAGGAATAGAGTCGGGAACATTTATTCAGAGAATCGAAGTCATGCCAACATCTCTGCAAACATCGCACGAAAGAAACAAACTACATTTTTCTCTTTTTACAAAATAAATATATGGCTGGTAAAAGTTTATAGTATTAAGCGCTGAGCAAGCGTTTGTATTCTTTCTACATTTTATAATAAAAGAAACTCTTTGGGAGTCACTATAACTTTTGATAACCCAAAACAATCAATCGTTTGATGCGTTTTGACACTGAAACGAAGCCGCGAATTGCCTGTTAGCTTGCGCTAATATTCATGCGTCCCTAATTCATGAAGGACTTTAAGTGCTTCACGAAGGACTTTGTGATTTATGAAGGACTTTGTGAAGCGGACGCATAAGCCAGACAAGACCACTCCTGACATGGCCCCTCTCGCAAAACACTTTGATTATTGATTTTGTGGCACGACATTGAACTTGCTCGATATGAACTAATGTAGCGACTGATAGTCACATCGAGGGCGCGTTGCGACGACACCCATTCATCATGTAGAAGGGAAGACTCGCTCGACTTAAAATCGATACCAATTTGGCAAGAAGGAAGTGGAAGGAAGTTTGTGCACTTTAGCTTCTATTGAGCCTTTGTTCTGACCCTCACTGTAGGGTGATCTAGAGATGGGATATGGCTAGACGAGGGAAGTTTGGGCCTCAGAAACGAGGGCTGCCAACATAACGTAATAGCCCAGTTACCCTGCAATGCAAGCTCTACATTTATAGCCAACGCACGCATGTCATCAGGCGGGGTGGTGAAGTTATGTCCCCGTACACATGTTGAACGAATCGGAAACGTGCATAACTTAAGAATTCTCATGCGTATCTCGTGCTTTCGGTTTCATTTAATTTTAGCCCTTGATTATTGTACCAATTCAAATCGCTTGATTGATGAGTTTTATAAAACACAATACTCCTGATTCTCATTATCTGTGAAATTAAGTGCATATAATTTTGCTCATCATGCATCATCAGATATATTCATGT